AATCCAGCATTTCACTTGTCTGAAAGGTGCCAACTCCATCACAATCCAACCCTGCTACTGCTGACAAACTAGTTACACAGGCCTGTCTGCAGCTCAGGTTCCCAAGCTGGCTCATGAGTGTGCTGCTTCAGCTTAGAGCTGCTTGTACAGATAGCAATACATGCTCTTCAGCTGCTCTTCTCTGTGAGCTCTCCATCAAACTTCCTCCAGCACCAGCTCTAGGACTAGTGAGAAGCAACGTATCCCAGGTCTGAATATGCTCATGGCTCAAATCAAGTGTAGTGCAAACCCCTAGGGCTGCAGCAGGGATTCATTACCCTTGGAGTGTTTTGTGTGCACATGATATTAGTGAAGCTTTGGTGTAGCTGACACTGTTGATGAGGAAAGCCTGGTTGTACTGTATGGTACCTGAATGACCAGGGTCTCACTGAGGGCAGTAGTGTAGAAGGCAGTTGTCTTTCTGTCCATGATGGCATGATTCACAGATACAAGAAACTTGAAATAGATTTTAGTGTTATGTGGAATAAGAATTCATATATGTTAGATGCTTCTTTGAAACCAGATGAATTTCAAGGTGCTGTACTGCAGGGGTCACCAGGGTGATCTACTTCTTTTACATTGTACAACTAGCCACAGACTCCAATCCATCCATGTCCTGTTTTAGTGATGAACTGACATAGCTATCATTTTCTGGCCACTCAGTGATCCCTGGGAAGTGAAACGGACAGAGTTCAAAAGCCAAAAGTGAAAAACCAGTCCTAGAGCTGGTGCTGGAGGAAGTTTGATGGAGAGCTCACAGAGAAGAGCAGCTGAAGAGCATGTATTGCTATCTGTACAAGCAGCTCTAAGCTGAAGCAGCACACTCATGAGCCAGCTTGGGAACCTGAGCTGCAGACAGGCCTGTGTAACTAGTTTGTCAGCAGTAGCAGGGTTGGATTGTGATGGAGTTGGCACCTTTCAGACAAGTGAAATGCTGGATTGAAGTTTTTCTAGTTGTTCTAAAGGCAGGTCAGCTTTATTAGAGAGGGAGGGGACTGTCTCATGTCTTCTAATGCTTTACCCAAGCACTAATCTGCCTTTAAACACAAACTCTTCTGTTCTGTGGTGGGTTTGCAAGGAGTCTTGCTTTGACTTGTTTCAGAGCAATCACAAGGTAAAAGGGATGTATATCTGGCCATCAGCTTTTGGGTGCAGGGATTAGTTCTGGATTGCAGCTACAAGCAAGAACTGTGTGAAGAAGAAAATAAAGATCTGATTATGGTTATGCCTAGAATCTTACCTGAGCCCTTGGGCAGGTAGTGGTCTGAAAGCTAATTTCTTTGGCTGTAACTATGGCTCCTTTCATAATTCACAGAAAAGTTCTCAGTGATGCTTCTCCCAGATTAGAGGTAAAGGGTTTCCTTCTTACACCTTAATGACTAACCTCATTAAGGAAAATACAGAAAACTTCCATTGTTTGCAGTAAAAGGTGTTTCTTTCCCCACTCTGTGTTGCAATAAGCTTAGAGTGATGGGATGGGAGCAGTGCAAAGAGAAACTGGATCTGTGTGCAGAGTGCCTGGGAACGTTGGGAGAGAGAGTGTGCATGCTCTTGTAGAGAAATCCCAGAGAGGAGACCAGCCCACTCATTCAACACACCTTCAGCAAGCACTGCCTAGTGAGCACCTCTGGGCAGCAGCAGCAGAGCCTCTGTTGCTCTCAGGCATCTCATCATGTGGTTTTTCAGGAGAAGGCTTCCTAAAATTCCTAGAGCCCTCATTTGGCTCATTGTTTTAACACACGTTTGCATCTTCATTGCTAATTTTGGCTCCTTGTTTGGTTTGTCAAAGACAAGGATTTTCAGGTAAGAGACCTGATAAACACTGTCTGGGTAGTGTGCTTGTGCTCACTTTCTGTCTTTCTGTCTCTGTGTCTTTTTACCCTGAAATTTGCACTTCTGATCTGAGTTAGATGACCACTTTGCTTTAACAGACGACATTGAGTGCAATCAGAGTACGGTGTTGGAAGATCCACAGTCAAAAACTTGCTTTGCTGGATTGCTAGCTTCCAAGTGTTTCCTTGTGTAGCTGTTTTAAGAAAGCAGCTTTTGCTTTACTAACGCTACCTCTTCTCATACTTTGGCTTTACCTAGTATTTGCTTTTCCTGATGGTTCCCAGAAGGACCCCATTCAGCCCTAGTCCAGATTGTGTTGCTAGACATTGAATTTGGTGGGATACCTTCAAATTTATATCGTGTTCAGTATCCAATTCTTAATACAAATATGCTGCATACTGGGAGACCAATGGCATGCAGACATTATCTATATTTTTTTTTTTTTTTTTTTTTTTTTTTTTATATAAATGGTCCAGTAAATCCAACAAGAATGGGTATGGAGGGAATTGCAGTGTAGACTGCAGGAAAATGTTTCCAGCATTGCTGGCAGGAAGCACTGTTCCTTGCATGAGCACAGCTGATACTTGAGCCTTTCCCACTACCAACATGGCTCTGTGACATGTTGGTGCCCTGTGCTATGTAGCACTGCTCCCCAGTCTCCCCATCAGCCCTCATGTGGTCCCAGCTCTCCCAGTGAGCTCATCTGGCTTGTCTTGGTGGGGTTAATTTTCAGCTAGACCTCTCAAGGCTGATGCCATGGGGGCAGGCAGGAGGGGTGAGGCTAGGAACACCTACATCTCTTCTGGAGATGGCATGAGCTTAGCTCAGCTCCAGTGACTCAAGGACAGCTATCAATTTGGAGCAGCTGGAATCTGCACAAGGGAGATGGGGAGAAGGAAAAGGTGTAGAGAAGTGGAGTGAGTTGTCCTGTATCACAGAGCCCACCAGTGGCAGAGCTGGGAGGGACAATAACTGGCTCTCCATGCCCAGTTGCTTGAAGCCATTTCATTCTGTTGTATTTTCAGATAATGAAAATGCCCATATTTTTGCAACTTAAGCAAAACACAACTAGGCATGAGCTGTATGTGGTTATCTGTGTGTCAGTTCTATTTCAGTACCTTTATATGCAACGTAAAATACACAAAGCAGCATTTTCATGGCTTTATCCTCTATTTGTCCTAGGGCTTTGTAAATGGAGAGGAAAATGACAGTTAATGTCATTGGGTTTCTGCACTTGTTTGCCAGCTGGACTCTAGAGCCTGAAATTTGATGAGCTGCTTTGACCAGTTGTCTGGATTGAAAATGCTGGTCGGGAGAGCAAGGTCCTGTGTAGGCACGAGTGCTTGGCCATGTGGGTCTGACTGCAGGGAGCAAAGTTTTGGATGTGAAGGGCCCTTGGTTTTACACTTTGGTCTCTGTATGTTTGGCACAGAAGTTGAAATTAAAATGTAATAGAGCTGGGGTGGAATCTGTGCCCTGCGAGACATCAAGTACAGAGTGTCTTGGGTAGGGGGTGGTTTGTCACACTGTCCTGCTTCATATGTTCTCTCCCCTTTAATTCCAAAATTTTAAATGTCATCTTAAAAATACAACAGAAAACATCCAGGGATTTAAGATGTACCTGAGCTACCCTACCAAATTTCTCTTTACATCGAGTGTATATATAAAATCTTTCCTCTTCTTAGACAGTAAACACTAACTCAAGTTTATACATGAAGCACTTGGATAGAACACAACTGCTGCATCCTTGCTTGAAGCTGGCTAATGATTCTCATAATCATTAGGAGGTAGAGGAAGAGCTGATAGACCATTTACCACAGCCTCTTTTTCTTAAAAACAATGTTAGAAAGGTTCAAGTATTTATCTGATAGAAAATTATTTTTAAAAGCCTCCTTAGTTGATAATTTCCTAATCCCTTTAATGAATGCCATACCACTCTGAAGCTTCAGCAGCAATTGAACTGTTAACTCCAGCCTGCTATCTGCAGAGGTGCTTTTCTTCCCATTTATCATCTCGGAAGCAATCCACAGCTCTCTGAAACAAATGCGTCATGCAAAGAGTGAATGTGAGTGTGAAATCAGACGGCCACAGCTATGCTGGTTTATCCTGAAAAGGTTTGCTTTCTGCATAAAAGTGCAGCTGCAGACATTTTTCACCTTCCTTTTTCCTCTTCCACTCTCCAGCCGTGTGCAGACAAGAATGAGTGTTTGGGATAAAAAAACCCCACCACTTCTGCCCTGATTTTTTTGCTGGGTTTCAGCCCAGTCTTGTTGCAGGTGGTTCTTCTGCTGTTGGCAGCTGTATCCTCCTACGATATCCTTGTACCTGCCTGTGCCTCTGAATCAGGCAGCAGGGCAGCTGCAGTATTAGAGGCGATTGCTGAAAATGCAGAGATTTTACATTTTTAAGCTTCAGAGTGTATTTTAATAGCTTCAAAGTGCCTTTCTTAAGATGTGTACCTGGCAAGTGCTGTGTGATGCCATTGCATTACCTGGCTAAGGGAGAGGAAGAGAGGAGGAAGTGCCTTGTGGCCCCAAATGCTCAAGAAGTGATGTATGGTAAAGGCGTGAATTTCCCTTCTTATTAGACCTCCCTTACTGAATTCTGGGAGATCTTCATGCTCTGTCGCTGAAACACTTGGCTCTGCTGGCAAAGAAGAGAGCCAGATGGCTGCCTTCATGATGTGTGCCGTGTCCTGAACTCAGGATCTCCAAAACAGTCTTGCAGTGCTCTGGGGACACTGCCTGGGGCCCTGGCCAGTGCAGGGCAAAGCTGTTCTGTGCTGGTTTGCAGTTACTGCCAGTGTAGATGTTTCATGAGCCAAGTCCTGAAGAAGAGATAAGTGGTGTTCAGGCCAGGATGGTGTGGGAAGTTGGATAATACTTTGGGGATGAAGTTTAAAATTAAATTGAATTCATACAGCATCCTGCAGAAACTCAGTGGCAGTTGCCAAGGCAAGTCCTCTGAGTGTGGTGGTCATACGCGTGGTTGGGAGATGTGCTCAGAGTCAAGAGCACTAGAAATGGGCTGGAAGGTGTTCAGTGTTAAGTGGAAAGTGTGTGTGATGTGTTTGTTTGGGTTTTTTTATTGGATTCAGGCAATTGAGCTTTTTCCAACATGCCAGAGATATGCTACAAGTGGACAACCAAGAGCAACAGGGTTTAAACTATTCTGATAATGGGAATTCAAGGAGCTTTTTGAAGGTGACTTTGGGGAGAGACATCAAAAGACGTGAACAAGTTATGGTTGAAAGGACATCAAGATGGGAAGGAAAGGAGGAGCAGAAGAAAATGACAAAACCAGTTGCCAGGGTGGAGGAAGCCAAGGAGAACGTGACTGTGAAACCACCCCCCAGGTTGGAGGGAATCAAGATGACAACAGTGAAAACAGCCCCTGGGGTGCAGGGAATCAAGAAGAAAACAACAGTGAGACCAGTCCCAGGGGTGGAAGAAGACAAGGAAAAGACAACAGTGAAACCACCTCCTCGGGTGGAGGGAGCCAAGCAGAAGGCAACAGTGAAACCATCCTCTGGGGTGAAGGGAGCTCTTGAAAACAACATATCCAAAGACCAAACAAAGCCAAAAGAGCCTCCTGCATCACTGAAAACTGTAAGACCTATTGCTCAGGATGCTGCAGTGACAGAGAGGAAGAAACTGAGAGCTGCTGACTTCAAGTCTGAGCCACGGTGGGATTTTGAGGACAAGTACCTGCTGGATAACTCATCTCCACCATCGGTAGGTGTGATGGCTGTGTGTGTTTGCCAAGAATAATGCCTCTCTGTTGACCTCCATGTCTGCTGTCCCCTGAGCATGTGTGCTCTTTGCAGTCAAGGATGATCTCCAAGCTGGTAGGTCACCTCCATGGTATATGCAGATGCTGCTGGGACCCAGAGAGGTAGACCTGTATGTACAACTCAATTAGCCTGACCGGTCCTCCACCGTGCTCCAGTATGGGAACTTACTGCAGGTGCATTCATTTCTATGGGTTCCTTTGAAAGTCAGCCCAAGCAGCCCTTTCTGGAGCTCAGGTGCATCAGAAGCTGGGGAAAATATCTCTCCTTTTAGATGTGCTACAAGGTGGTCCCACTCTTAGGTGGCTTGGTATATTGCATAGAGGACTTTAGGCAGACAATGCAGTGTATATGTTCCCTGGGACGTGACACCCTAAGGTAAGTTGGGTCCCACTTAGTTGTGTGATGCCTGTGGGCAGACATTAGCTGTCTGGCACTAAATGGCAATTTTCCATCCCATTTTTAGGTTGCCCAAGGAAGTTGTAGATACCCCCTCCCTGGAAGTGTTCCAGGCCAGGCTGGATGAGGCTTTGAGCAACCTGGTCTAGTGGAAGGTGTCCCTGCTGATGGCAGGGGGGTTGGAACTGGATGAGCTTTAAGGTCCCTTCCAATCCAAACCATTCTATGATTCTATGAAGACACGGGTTTGCAATCCCCAGGTTTGCCTTGATCTTTGTTTTGTGGAGCCCAGGGTCATGGTGAGGGAACATGAACAGGAGTGCTTCCACATGCCTGTTCACTCGAGCACGTACGTACCAAAGCAAGTCAAAAGCTTTGGCAGCAGTGATGCTTGTGCTGTGCTAGGCTGTGAAGAGTGATGCTGGCAGTGATGGTGAGGAGGGTCTCAGTGCACAGGAACAGAGACTTTGTTAGTTGCTTGTGTTAAAGTCAAAATAAAGTCCAAGAAAAAGGGTTAGGTGAGGATTGATAAGCATGTACCTGCGTGCTTTGGAGACAGGAGGCTGGGGACCATTCCCATCTTTAAGGTTTTCTGTCAATATTGGCAAAAACACAACTATGTGTATGTGTGCCCTGTTGGAGAAATGATGGTTAAAAAGTAACTTCTTTTACTGTTGTTATAGTTTATTATCAACAAGAGGAGAGTCTTTACCAGATGTTGCCAATTCACCTTTTCCACCCTGTATGTAGACACTTGTAGTGAGCAAGCAGATTCTTTACCCATTCAGAGCTCCTTGACTCTCATGGTCCCAGCACGTTGGGTTGCTGTCTAGGATTTTCTTGCTATGCATTGAACCACCATCACAGCAGAGCAAATAATTCCTAACAGATCTGGCATTCGACAAGTCCTGCTTTGTTCCTCTTTGTTAAATAGAAACAGCTGCAGGCCTGGTCAGCACAGGTACTTTGGTAAAGGTGAAGATGAGAATCTCACATGATACAGTTGTACCTTTCAAGGCAGTAGCATTTGCACACCTACAGCTTCCAAGTTTTCTTACAGATCCTGTTTGTGAGTATTGTTCTGGAGGTTAGTTCTCACTATCTCCTCTGCCTCTGTAGGTCATATAACTGATGTGATCTTCCAAAATGATAAGTCTAGTGCCCACCATCAGGTTGTCTTAACACCCATGGAATTGAAAAACTGTCTTTTTCTTTTCTGTTTTGCACTGAACTCGTGTTCTGACCGTATTTTTGACATTTCCTTTGTAGCTATGAGGATTTGGAACTAATTTAAAATTCAATTTGAGCATCTCCTAATTACTCAAGTCCAGGAACAAGACCTTTAGGAAAGTTGTAAACTATAGTAAAGTTCTTAGCAAGCAAATGGGGCAGGTTGTGGTGCACAATACTGCCTCTGTCTCCCATCTTATGCTAATAAACTCTTTGTAAAAGCTTACCCAGAGCAGTTTTCCCTGACACTGCTGTTGCTGGGAGGCTTGGACAGGCAGGTAACGCTCTCTAGAGTGAGGAAGGTCTTTATACATGGGTGTGAGTGGCCTTTCCACACTGCTGATATGCTCAGGGAGGAGGGAGGGTGTAGGGAGGTGAGCAGAGGACAGGAGCGCCTGTTCTAGCTCGGTGGTCTTAAATGAGCCATTTTCCTGTTTAAAGTCTCAATGCCACAATCTTCCACCATTGCCATGTGTCATTTTGGTGGCATTAGGGTGAATGTAGATGTTGCTCCAGGGGACTGTCAGGATTGCAGGCACCATGTCGTTCTGCTCAGACCTCTCCCAGTGGAGCAGGGGCTCCTTTTGAAAAATTAATCCCATTCCCCAACCCCAGGGTTCTCGGGATGCCCTGGGGGATGTGCAGAGAGCAGAGGTAGAGGAACTGGGCTGATAAAAAAATCCTAGGAGATTTTTTTAACGTTCTCACTCCCATGTGGTATTTTGATGTTGTTCCTCGTTGCCCTTTTTGGCCGTGCAAGCCATTCTTTTGGTGACTGGACGTTCTCTTCAGTGTGGCATTGAGCCACTTCAGAGGAGCAGCTGGCTCCAGAGACAGCTCTGTTATCCAAAGATCTGTGACTATTAAACGTGGAACTTGGCTGTTAAACACTTGAGCTCATGCACTAGCCCAGCTGTACTGAGTCACAGCAGAAGGGCCAGGCAGATGATCCAGTCTGTGGTGCAGGATGTGCATCCTCCTTCCTGGGCTCCCCATGGTCTTGAGGCACCCAGAATACAAATGGGAGTGGGTGAATTACATGGCTAAGAGTGTGTATGCCACATGAGTCAGTACTCGCTCCTCCTGCCCACTGTTACTGCCTGTAGACACGATAGGGTTAGGTCACCAGAATCCTGCTCATCGACTGCCAGATGCTCCCATCTTCTCATCTGATGAGCTGCAGAGCACATGCAGCCATCTCAGAAGTGCAGAGCAGGAGCTGACAGAGAAATGTGAGACATCAGTTCACAGCAGGAAGCTGAGAACATCCTCCACTGTAATTGAGGCTGCAGAGCATCTGGATTTGCAGAACAGCTGAGACAGTAGGAAAAGCCCTTCCTCAGTAGGGAAAAGAGGAGGAAATGCATGCAGAAGGGTCTTTATTGAAGATGTGGATCCAGATATCATGTGTCGGGTCTCACCCTCAAACCTGATCTCTAATTCTGCAGAGAGAGGGAGTGACTAGAAGCACACCCACCTCCTTCGTGTCCTACATGATCAGACTTTTCCCTAGTTCCTCTGGTATTGATTGATCCAGTGTAGCTCTGGAGGCACAAGAAGTACCAAGCCTTGGACAGTACAAAGTACAGCCTGAGCAGGGAGGGAACGTCCCTGTTTCTGGACATGAAATGTGCTGCAAGTGAAATGGTGCCAACATGAATCCCTCACCAATGTTCTTCTCGCTGCACTCCTGTTATGACAGGCAGAATGAGGGCTGTCTCCTAAGGCTGTGACCAGATTGTTATCGTCACCCACAGCAGAGAACCCAGCTCAGCTGTGGAGCACACAGCAAGGCTTTGGCCATGCAGTCTGGTCATTGCTGGGGATTTGAGCTTGAGCATGCAGGTCCACTCAGCTTCTTGTTTTGTCTTGCAGCAGGTATCTGGGGAAGATGTCTAAGAAAGTAGAGCCCAAATTAACTGAGTGGAAAATCCAGCACTGTGGAGTTGTTTACTCTCCATCTGCACACACAGCCTAACTCTTGCTAGCTGCAATGAGACTCCTCCTGTTAGGATAAACTGGCTTGGATTCCCTCCTCAGCCACACACTTCTCTATGATTAATTTATGATGTTGAACAAGTTGTTTGCCTGATTTTTATTATCTTTCAAGGCAGTGATAATGATGATCTGATCTCACATGTCCTCAATGTGTTTGTTCACGTGCACTCTGAGGCCGTGACCTTGTGAGGTGTGTTGCCAACAGGGACTGCTGGCCTTATTTGATATGCTTAGGTTAGACCTATTATAGATACTAATTTGCATCAGTTAATGAGGCCCAAAGCCAATAAAACATGTGAGCATTGCAGGCCTGTTGTTCTGAAGAGGAAAGTCTCAGAGACATGGAATCACCCTGGCTTCCTTGTAGGTGACTTTCCACCAGCTGGTTATTGATATAATGCTGAAATTATGCCTCATGTTCACAGTGGTGAGGACACTGAGGGGAATGGGTGATGTACCACTGGAGTTCGTGTTTCTTTCCAATACCCTTACACACAGGCACACCAGCACTGACACTCAGTCAGGTTTATCAGCTCCCTGCTAATCAGCCTGTACTCTTTTCTGTTTGTTTTTCAAGACCTGCTCTGAATCAGTGAAGGCCAAAGCTGCCAAGTCTGACTGGCTGCGAGATCTTTTCCTGCCCAACATCATGCTCTTCACAGACAAGAGATACTTCAGTGACAGTGAGTGGAACCGCCTGGAGCATTTTGCACCTCCATATGGCTTCATGGAGCTGAATTATTCACGTGAGTCCCTCAGGGCATGTCGGGATGGGACCATCAAACTCCCAACAGAAACCGCCAAGTAGGTGGAGGTTTGCAGCATCCCCATGTCAAAGGCATCAGACTAGGTGGATCTCATGGCAGAAACTGTGGTGGTTTCACTGTGTCCATCCTGAAGGCTCTTGATGCTAACTCTCCACCATCTTTGCTTCACAGTGGTGAAGGAGGTCATGTCCCTGCTGCCCCCGAATCCCCACCAGCAGCTGCTCCTGGCCAACAGCAACAGCAGCATGCCGACATGCATCAGCTGTGCTGTCGTAGGGAATGGAGGAATATTGAATAACTCTGGGATGGGCCAGGAGATTGACTCCCATGACTACGTCTTCCGGTAAGGCAGGCTTCCTTCTTAGAAGATACTCAGCTAGTTTGTTCTGGCTAGCAGATAATTACAGCTGGATAACTTCACCTCTCTTAATATTGCACTGATTCCAAAGTGCCAAAATGACTGATGGCTGGAGGAGATGAAAAAACAAAAAGGAACGTTCCTACACACCCAGGAAGAGCCTGGGTTCACAGATGAGCCATAAAGAGCCACCTCCAGAGCAGGGGGAAGTGGCTCTCCTGCAGAACAAGACGTGTAGCTCAAATGGGCCTCATCTTCCCTTCCTCCAGACTAATGCTGTCTTTTCCTGTTGTAAACATGGATATGAGGGTTTTTGGTGGTCACCTGCTAACTCTGCTCCTCTGTTTGATTTCCATGGCCAGGGTGAGTGGAGCTGTAATCAAAGATTACGAAAAAGATGTGGGAACAAAAACCTCCTTTTATGGATTCACAGCCTTCTCCCTCGTGTCTTCTCTCCAGATCTTGGGACACAGAGGGTTCAGCAACATCCCACGGGGAAAAGTAAGTCAGGTCCATGGTGTATGTGTGCACAACTCTGATGGGATGCTTTTAGTCTGTGGCTTTCAGTTCTGATCTTGCTGTGCATGAGAAGCAAAGGGGCTGAGCTAAGATTCTAGCATTACCCTTAGTGAGGGAACCTGCACTGGCTTGGCGTGAGCATTTGCAGTGGCCAGCTGTGTCAGTCCTAGCCCAGCCCTTTGGCATGTAGAAGTAGCTGCACATCAGATGTTATCTCCATTCTGCTTCTGTGGAGCAGTTAAAAGCTGCACACCAAAGACGTGTGTCTGAGAGACTCAGCCTAGATGCCTGCTTCCTTTTTGTTTTTAAAGGATATGTCTCTCTTGTGCTGTTCATTAATGCTCACTTGTTTTCTTAGCATGTCAGATACATACACTTCCTGGAAGGAGCTAGAGACTATGAGTGGCTGAAGGCTCTTCTGCTGAACAAGAACATCAGGAAAGGATTCTTGAACCATTACGGGTAAAACAAACCCGTACACCCACCTCTACACTCTTTGGTTTGGAGCTCTCTGCTGTGCCCTCTTCCTTTCCACAGTGCTCAGCCCTGCTGAGGTGCAGGCCAGGGTAAAGCCAGGTTAAAGCCTCCCTCCCCTTGCAGATTTATCTGGAGAAATACCTTATTTCCTCCCCAGCTCTGAGCGCTGCTGTAACCAACACACCTCCTTCCCAGAAGTAGCTGTAGCTGATTTCAGTGAAGTGTAGCCAGAGCTTGGAGAAGGCTTTGTGGTCCTTTGGGATGCACACATGCTGTTTTCTGGTCTGGTGTCTGTACATGGTGGGTTACTCATGGATGAAAGTCTGGTTTCACCAATTCTTGTCTATACACACACATGCTTTTGATATTCCTGTCTCCTGTTGTTGCCTCTCCTCCCTGATCTCTTCCTCTGCAGTGCACACAGGTTATGGAGGCTTTGTCCTAATCTGGGAAATGTTGCAGAATGACTTAGCAGTGTTTGTGGTTCTCTTATCACCAAGTGTATCAGGGCTGATGCTTTGCAGCTGTGATGAAATACAGGTGCTTGTCCTGAGTTTCCCCATTCCTGTCTTTAGGCAGAGGCCCCGAGAGAGATTCGACGAAGATTTCACGATGGACAAATACCTGGTAGTTCACCCTGATTTCCTCAGATACATGAAGAACAGGTGAGCTGGGGGTTATGTGCTCTAACGAGCTGACTTTTGCTGGCCAGCATCATCTCTCTCTGTCTCTGGGTTCTCTCATCTCAGCTCACTCCAATGTAACTGCAGTTTAGTCACACCAGCAAATTGGGGGTAAGCTGCATCAGAATCATAGAATCATGGAATGGTTTGGGTTGGAAAGGACCTTAAAGATCATCCAGTTCCAACCCCCCTGCCATCAGCAAGGACACCTTCTACTAGACCAGGCTGCTCAAAGCCTCATCCAGCTTGACCTGGAACACTTCCAGGTACTGGGAGGCCGCTATAAGATCTCCCCGGAGCCTTCTCTTCTCCAGGCTGAACAGCTCCAACTCTTTCAGCCTGTCCTCATAGGAGACGTGCTCCAGCCCTCGGATCATCCTGCACATCATCAGTGTACAGTCAGTAAAAGTTCTCTTTGGTGCTGCAGTGGGCTGTTAGTGGTGGGTAGACATCCAGTATTTGTGAGCTGGAGAAGCAGCAGCTGTCGGACAGTTTGGCTTTCTGCATCCAAAAGAAGTCCTGGGCAAATGGCAGCTTTAGATGTGGGAAGAGTGTTGCTGAAGTGCCAGAATAGTTGATGTAGTTTGGGACCAACCTTCTGTGTTCCCCATTGCTTAGCACCTGGAGGAAGGCTCTGTAACAGCCCTTCTCTGCCGAGATCCCTTCTTGACTCGGGACGTTGTTTGTGCCTTCAGACACAGTAATAGGCACTTCTGCAGTATCCCATTTGCCTGGCCTGACTGCTCTTTGCTTCTCTAATCCTTCTCACAAGCCTGCTGGACACTGTCCCTGTAAGATCTGCCAATCGTGGGCCACACGTGACCAGGAGATGTAGGAAGAAGAGCTCCTGTTGTGCCTTGCTTTGGCTGCATTTACCCTTCAGTCTCCTTGAGAGCTGAATTATGCCTTCTCTGAGAGAAGGCAAATGCAGTGCCAGATGGCCTGCACCTCCCTGCTTGTTCTGCTGTCTCCTCTCTGACTTGGGTCCTTTCCAAGGCCAAGAGGGCTTGAATGCTTTTTATTTTTTTCCTGGTGTGGACTCCTACCTTCCTAACAACTGCTGGCACAAAACTCTGCAGCTCCCAGCGGGTTTTGTGACCCTCCTCTGCACCTTTCCTACGTCTTGTTTCACTCCTAAATGTGGGTGGGGAGCATGATAGACCAGGGAGCTTCAAAGCCATTTCTGCACTGCAAGGCAAAGGACAGATTTAAGAGTGGGCTTTAACATCCTTTAATCCACCCCCTCTTTACCCCCACTGCCTCAAGACCTACCACTTCCATAAAGGTGGGGCAGAGCTGGGCTTAGGTTGCAGTGCAGGGGATGGAGCATCCTGGGCTGGCCTGGTGCTTTACTGAGCACCCAGCAGTACCCACACGTGGGTATGTTCATGGTTTGGCTGAAATGCCTCGTATGGCAACAGACTGCTGTAAGGAGGGAAGGTGCCACACAGGCCACAGGGTGACAAGGTGTGAATCAGCTTGAACCACCACACCCAACAACTGCTCTGTGCTTTCTTCTCTCCTGCTGCAGGTTTTTAAAATCTAAAAGTCTGGAAAAGCCCTACTGGCGACTGTACAGACCCACCACGGGGGCCTTCCTGCTGCTGACTGCCCTTCATCTCTGTGACCGGGTAAGGGCACAATGATTCTTGCACACAGCACTGTCTGGAAGGGGGACAGGATAACAGGGCAGAGCAGGGATGGCTCCAACCCTGCCTACCATCTGCTTTGAGGGGTTCTGTGGGTTTTTGTCAGAGAAACAGCCCCAGAATAGTTCACGTAGAGGTTGTGAAGCCTGCTGTGGCCTTAGAGCCACCCTGCCTCCCAGGGAGGCGGTGAGAGGACAGCAGGCTCTCTGGAGCCAGTGTTCATAGCCTGGTCTGTCTGGACCCCCACACAGGGTCACCTGGAGGGGCCCTGACTGGCATCTCTGTCCTGTGCTCCCTCCCCATTTGGGAACTGTCCCCTGTATTTCACTTGGCTCCCTCCTCGGTACCTCTCCCCAGTGAGCTTTCCTTCTTTCCCAGGTGAGTGCCTATGGCTACATCACGGAGGGTCACGAGAAGTACTCGGATCACTACTATGACAAGGACTGGAAGCGTCTGATTTTCTATACTAACCATGACTTCAACCTGGAAAAGCAGGTGTGGAAAAAGCTTCATGATGAGAATATCATGAAGCTTTACCAGAGATCCTGATTGTGTGGCAAGGGCCATTGCCTGGGAAATCTCAACAACACCTCACTGGGAACAGAAAAGGACTGTCAGAGCCAAGGTTGGCTCTGGACTTCCAGGCACATTTCATCCCCACAAAGATATTTCCCTCCTTCAGCAGTTCTATTCTCTAACAATATTTCTACAAATGTGCAAATGCTACAGACCAGGAGGAACACAGCAAGAAAATGCAGCACACCAACAAAGAAGTCCCATCTGGCTATGCTGCAAGACTGTTGATGGTTGTAGACACTGGTACTGGGAGAGAAGAATCCTGGGTGGATCTGGGTAGCATATGGTCCAGTGTCCTGCATCTTCATCCAGGTTTTCTCTCTTTGTGAGGAGATGCTCCTCAGGTTGGGTCTACTTCTGTTTTGGGTGGATCCTCTCCATTAGTGGTGCCCACTTTGGAGTTGGGTGTCTTGTCTAAGCAAGCTCCCTCTGCAGCCAGTGGATGGAGGTGGACACAGAGATCCTGTCTCAGGTTGACTTAATTCCTGGAGATGCTGCTCCTGCTATCCTCCTTGTAGATAAAAAGGATGGACTGGACATTTCCAGGTGACTAATTCAAGAAAGGGTGACACTCACCTCTGCTTCCCAGCGTGGCCTCATCATGACATCTCCAAAGGAGCACCACCATCAGCTCAAGGGCAGGTCAATGCTCTCCATGGTGCAGCAAGCAAACCAGACTTGGTGCCTCTTGCTCTGGGGCTCCCCTGGCTGCAGGACACATGAATGTTGTGTCGTGGTTCCAAGTGCCAAGTCCCTGTTTAGCTGGACTTTGGCATGCTTGGCTCCCAGCTGTGCCAGGAGCACTGGGTTTGCCCTCTTGCCAGGGGAGGTAGGAGTTCTCCAAGTCCAGGGGTGGATGCTACCTGTCCTTGCTGCTGGCTGGAGTGCCTGTGCCATATTGTGCTGAGAGGGGCCCAGTTGCAACCAGCAAGCCAGCAGCATGTTTGCTTTCTGAAAGAGGTTTTGCAAGCAAAATAAATGGCAGTGCCTTGGCCAAGCTGATTTTTCATTGCAGCCCTGTGGGATGTGGTTATTCAGTGTGTGTCCAAAGCAGTTGCTTAAAGGCTGAGACAGTGGGCAGTGAAGCCAGGAAAGGGCAGGATGTAATGTTAATGAGAATATCTTCATCTGCAGGTGCTCTACAGCTTGTGTGGACACACCTGAGCATCCCCCACTTGATCACCTTGCTATGGCAGGACAGGGATCAGAGCTGGCCAAACACCTCCCTGAGGCAGTGGGTGAACACCTGGCGAGTTTGTCCTTGTCCCAGCAGCTGCTCTCCAAGTACATCAGGTGCTGGAGACAAATGCATGAAGGGCTGGATGTTTCCCCCATGACACCATGAAGGCAAAAAGCCACTTCCAGTGTCCAGGCATCTCCCTGGGCTCATCAGATGCTGGGTTGGGGGCCAGCTTCTCACTGCCTGGTCCCAGTGGAGCTGCTCTGGCTGTGAGTGGTTTTTCTTTTGTGCAGCATTTCTGTTGGGGAAAGCAGCGTCTCCAGGGCCCCCCCCGGGCTCTGAGGGAGGCATTTCAGCACGGATTGTCAGCAGGGTTTGTCAGGCCTGATTTCCTTTGTCCCTTTTTTTCCTTGTGCTGTAGAGAGGCCGAGTGGTTTCTCATGTCTCACCAGCCTTGTTTGCAAAGAACAACCCCCCCACTTTGATCACCTACATGAAGAATTCAGCTTATCTAGGAGAGGGCGTAGCCTGCGTCTGGCTGCTCTGCCTGTACGAGCCCCGCAGTGTCCTGGCGAGCAGGGAGTTGTCTGAAATGCACTGTGCTTCTGCTGGGAATGATGTACGTGGCCCCACATGAACACCAGACCCATGAGGAACCACGGGCTTTGGAGCAGACCAGAAATCCTGAGCAGCAAATGCCCTCTCCATGAAGAGGGAGCCCAATGGTTACCTTCCGGAGCCTGCCAAGGACAAACTCCTGCACTCAGGAGCTCTGGACCCTGCTGGGTGTCTCTGTGCATGGCTGGTGTCCCCTGTCCCCAGGCCCTGCAGGCTCTCCATGCCTGGCACTCGCTCGGCTGGACTCTTGGTGGGCAGTGAGGCAGCTTTGTTCCCTGCCCGTGTTTCAGGCCGTACAAAATTGCTGTGGGTTGCTTGGTGACCAGCACCGCACGGGTATTTTTCCTGCCTGAATAGAGCTTTTCTCTTCCCAAGAAGTTGGAAGAAGTTTCTCTTAGATCCTTCCCTTCCCCCTCCTCCTCTTTTGTTTTCCTCTTCTCTGGGAAGCAGGATAGGGCCGAGTCCTACTGAGCAAGGGAACCATGGTGGGCGAGGAGGCTTTGGGGACAGGCTGGTGGCCCCCAGCCCACACTTTCCCCTGATGCCCAGCTCTTCTTTCTGTCTGAGGCTTCCCAGAGTCAAGGGAAGGAAACTTCCTGGGAGACTTTATTCAGGAGCAGAGCCTGTTCCCTCCAGGCTCTCTGCTCAGCATGGGAGGCATAGTTTGGAGTTATCAGGGATAATCTTGGCTGGAGAAGGCACTTTGCTGTGGTCTGGAGTTTCCCAGCAAGCTCTAAACCACATCCTCTCAGACCTGATGGTCCCCTTTGCCTCCTCGCTTTGCTTTTGGCCCCAACATGTTCCATCCCACCGTGGGCTGGCTGAGGTTTGGCACATACTGGGACATGTTGCCTGGAGCACAGGTCCAGCTGTGTCTCACCAGAGCTGCCTGACTTTGTGGCATCAGATCTGGAGCAGCCCCAGGTCCCCAGCTCAGCTGAACAGTTGGTGCCATGCTGCAGGGCCACCCCAAATATCCCCCATCCAGATCGTGGCAGCTGGCAGGCCAGCAGGATTGTCCAAGTGCCACCAGGTGGCAGCTCCTATTCAGGGACCTGTCAGCATCGTGGCATGTCTGGCACATCCAGGTTTGGCACAGGCTGTGTCCCAGGGCTGTACACAGCCCAGCAGTTGCTCACGCTGCATCAGCCTGTTGTCCCCCAGTGTCCTTCACTTTGTAACACCTGCCTGTAGAGTTTATGGCCCAGCAGCTCCTTGGGTTAGGTAGGGACACACATAGGAGGGGTTTGGTACCCGTGAGTGCCACTCTTGTAGCTGCAAAGGTGTGGCCTCAGCTTGTGCAAGGTGACAAGGTGCTGAAGGCAGCACAAGCAGAGGGACCAACGGTGGGATCGGGTCTGGCATCCTGAGATATGTCTCAGCCACAGCAACTCCTCCTCGTGCACTGACACGACACACAGTGCCACCAACCAGCAGTGTCTTCCCCACTGCCAGCCAGGAGCTCCAGGGTCTGCCTGGAGATGTCTGATTTGGGAAAGAAACACATAACTGTGCTTTAGTATGTCCAGAAGCTGCTGTAGCGTCAGCCCTGCTTTTTTGTGAAGTGGTCGGTGAGCACCATGAGTGCCAAACTCCTCCCTGGATTCCCCAGAAGTCAACAGCCTCTAGATATTCCCTGCCAGGCTCTGAGAGACAAATCCACTTGTCACCCAGGAGCTCTTGCAGTGTCACCTTCCTGGCAGGGCTTCATATTTTTTGTTTGGTTTCCACCTCTTCCCTTTTTGTGGTGTCACTGCTCACCTGTCTAGCAGGAGCAGGGACCATGTCCTGCTGCATGGTCACAGACACGTAGCTCCTCAACTGCAGCTGTGGCCACAGCAGGAGGAAGCAGATGGGGACTTGCTGGGCTGGGGGACAGGGATGTGCCTCAGAGACAAACCAGGGCTGACCAGGAGTGGGGACAGGATGGACACACCATGTCCTGGGGTTTGAGGTGACAACGAAGGCCAAACCCAACCAGGTGCTGGAGGGACCCCGTGCACGTGCCATACACGGCTCCAAGGCAGCCTTGGCCCATGGTGGCACATCTGGATTGTCACTCCTGTCTCCCAGCATGGAGTGGGTGCTCCTTCTGGGTGTGTTGCTCCTGAGCAGCTGTGGCTGACCAGGTGCCATGGAAGTGTAGCAGAGGCATGTGCCTGCTCCAGGTCAGCACAAGAACCCCTGTGCTGGTGACTTACCAGACACTGATTCCGTTCCCCAGTAGCAGAGAGGTTTGGGGCAGGCAGGGGTGGGGGGTTCACCCTCTCAACTCTGCTCTGTGGACCTTCTCCCTTTGTTGGGATGTGGCAGCAGGGAAATCCAGTCGGACCAGAAAAACTATTGATAACAGGGGAGGGAGAACAAGATAAAGGGGCAGCCTGGGGCTTTGTTGTGCAGAAAGCACCGGATGAGCTCCGAGCAGCTCCCCTGCACTGAGCCCTCATCTCCAGGTGCTGGAGCAGAGCCCTGCAGGCAAAGAGCTCCTGGGGGTGCAGCAGGACCTGTTCCCATGCTGAGGGGCTGTGGTAGTCCGGGCTCCTCTGCCAGGCTGGGCAGCAGGACCCTGGGTGCTGCAGGGCTTTCCCAGCTTGGCCTGACCCAGCCCCTAGAGTGGTCAATTCTGGAAAGACACTTGCTGAGTCCTGAGGACATCCCATCGCTCTCTCCATCCCTTCCATCACAGCCATACAGCATCAGGTGTGGGAGCCGTGGG